AAAATAGGCATATAACTACTCTGGTATAAATTATTTCTGAGGTTAACTGAAGCTATGCGTACTCACAATATATTGGGCAATATGTATCCTAAGAGGACCTAAGTTGTGCAGTAAATAGATCTGCAGGTAAGCTAGCTGACTTAAGCAGTTAGCTATAGTAATGATATTAGTTTGGAATGAGAAGAAAGGTTAATAATTAGAGTTTTTAAATAGGTAACTCACAGATGAGTTGCAGGTATAGTAGCATAATGTAGAACCAACAGATAGTCGATTATCTGTATAGTAGACTACTTAAATTAGATAATAACTAAAGTTGTATATATAACTTGTTATATACTCATTATATAACTATAAAACTTTAGGAAACTATTCATATGATAGTTCTATAATAACAAACTAATAAAATCTAATTAGCTAAGGAAATGGCCTTAATAACAAAAAAAAAAAAAAGTATTCTATTGCCTATACTATAGTAGTATATTCTAATTCTATTACTTCATAGTTAGCTTCTTCTTTCTTAAGACTTTTACTTGTATAGGCAATAAGATGTTCTTTTCTATTATCTGCAACTTGACTTAAAGTTGCTCCAAATCTATTATAAGAAGCATCAGTTGAGAAGATAAATTCTGATTTATAATTTGAATAGATTAGAATAGGAGCTGTAACTAATCTTTATTTGAGTTTATTAAAAGCTTCTTGTCATTATTAGTTCTATTTATATTTAGTATCTAAATATAATAGCTGATTTAAAGATTGGACTATAAAAGAAAATCTTTATATGAATCTTCTATAATATCTAGCAAGTTCTAAAAATAATTAAAGCTAAGTTACATTAGTAGGAGGGAGAATATTTTGTATAGCTATAATCTTTTCTGAGTTTGGTGAGATTCCTTTAGCTTTGATAATATATCTTAAAAAAAGTAATTGTTTCATCCAAAAAGTATATTTTTTTAAGTTAAGCTTTAGTTCTGCTTTTCTGATTCTAGTAAATACTTCACGTAGATGTTGAATATGATCTTCAAATATTTGTAAAAATATATTGATATTATCTAGATAGACAATAATATATTAATAGGCTATACTAATATAAATCTGATTCATGAGATATTAAAAAGTTGCAGGGGTATTACATAATCTAAATAGCATTACATTAAACTCATAAGTACTATATTTAGTAATAAATGCTGTTTTCTCTCTGTCTGCAGAATGTATTATTACTTGTCAATATCTACTTATAAGGTTAAGAGTAGAAAAATATGTAGCTCCTGCAAGGGAGTCTAAAAGTTCATCTATATGAAACAAAGAATAAGAGTCTTTCTTAATTATCATATTAAGTTTTCTATAGTCTACACAAAATCTTTTTTTTCATTTTTCTTCATAATTAACACAACTAGAGATACCTATAAACTAGTTGATTCTCTAATTAAATTGTTATCAAGTATCTATTGTATTTCTTCATTAATAAAGGCTTGTTTAGTAACAGGTACTGAGTAAAGTTGAGAACTTATTGAAGGTATATCTTCAGTATATATCTTGTGCATTACTAGATTAGTTTTCTCTAATTGTGTGATATCTTTTGCAAAGAGGTCTGCAAATTCTCTAAGTAATCATTTGAATTTTGTTTCTTGGTCTAAAGTTAATATTCATGTTTTTGAAGCTATTTCTTGAGAGAGTATATATATTTCTTTTTTTTGTAAATTATTATTATTTAAAGCTGATTCTAAAGCTTCAAGTTTTGAGAGAAGCTTATTTGAGTTACTAAGTAGTTTTTCATCTTACTTGGAATGGTTTAAAAATTTAATAAGAAGGTCAAAGTAGTAGGCTATTCATTATCTACTTGTAAAAATTGTTTCTGATATAAATATTCTATCTGTTGATAGAATTTTTCAAAATTATTAACTTTATTCTAGAGAATTTCAATAGTCTGAGCCTAGTGTTCAAAAGTCTTGACTTGAGCTTGGAGAAGAGTAATAATCTGAGCCTGTTGTTTAACTTGTTATTGCAATAATTCAATAAGTTTATTTTGGTTGAGGTTAGGTTGAACTTGGAGTTGAGAAGATAATTCAGGTCAGGTAGAGGAGTCTTCTGGTTGTAGTTCAGATTCTGGTTAGAGTTTAGAGTTTAATTCTTTATGACATTCTTAACAATATTCATCATATTACTCAAGTTCTGCTTTTTGTTTAGACATAAAGCAACTTTTGCAAAAGGCTACTTTATTATTGAAATTCTTTTAGAGATTTTCTATTGCCTTATAGTGATCAAATTCAGAGTAAAATTGGTCAAAAGATTTTTAAAGGATTCGATCTAAAATTTCTTGTTCTATTTCTGAGAGGGTTATATGAGATACTCTCATGATAAGACTGATATTACTATCTGAGTAGTTCTGATTAGACTGATCATTCATTTGAGGTTCTAGAGCTTCAATGATATCTTGTTGGCTTTTACCTAACTAGATCTTAGCAAGACAAAAGATTCTACTTTAGTTTAGATTATATGCATATCTTGCATTTTATAAGTATGACAAATAATTTAAATTTGAAAATGATATTTGGTAGCTTAGCCTAACTTAAAAAAATTTTTTATATAGCTTTAGATTACGAAACTTTTTCGTGATTACTCAGAACCTATCAATTAAACTAGTTCAAAAAAAGAAAGAAACCAAAAGATTATAGAGTGGTCTATATACTATTAAAATTAATCAAAAATAATCACAGTATTTCGTTTTTTAGCTCAGAGAACAGTTTCTTAAGAAATAGAAGGTACTCCAAGTTAAGATTCCACCAAACACTGCATAGTTGAAGTTTGTAAGGGAGGAATAGTGACTGAATAGAGAAAGATAACTGATAATGTACTCAGTAAAGCAGAAACAAATGGAATCCTGGCTTCATATTATGTAGATTGCAAAGGCGAGTATATATGTATAAGCTGTTATAACGGGATTGTAGTGAATGGAAATGATATTTTTAAAAATCATACATTAGAATGGGAAAGAGGATTAAAAAAACGTAGAAAGAATAGCAATCTTTCTATATCTGAAAGTATTATATTAATAGCTAATTTTATTTTTCAGAGAGATGTTGTAGAAGAGAATCAACCTCTTGTTGAATTTTCATAACTTAGGTATATTATTGAAGAGAAAGATAAATAGCTAACATTATTTTTTGACGAAATTGAAGCTGGAGCTGATGTAGAAAAAAAGAGCGATGATAAAAAAAAAGAACTTAATCGATCCCTAGCATATCAATGTTACTTGATATGTTGGAATCGAAATAGAGGTATACTACTCTGAGATCTAAAAAATGAACAAGTAGAAGGTAAAAAGTTTACTTAGGTAGATGGTGTAGTTGTACTAACGAATTTGCTTTATGATAGAGAAAAAAAGAAAAATTTGCCACCAATTTACAGTTTTTAAGAGTTGCGAAATGAAATGAAAAACAAGAATCATTGGCTAAGTATTTTTTTTAATTCTATTTATAATGCTACAAATCTGTTTGAAAAAAGTGATGAGTACTTAAAAAAGCTAGACAAACATCTAGCTTTTGAGTGTTATCTTATTTGTGGTAATCATAATTTAAAATTAACTGCATTTAAAACAGAGATGTCAATATTTTTGAACTCTATGGAAACATCTCACGAAGCAATTGATGCATTTGCGAATGCTGGAATTACGATTATATCTCATCATATAGATCAAAAAAAAGCTAATATTGCAGAATTACATGATGATCGAGTAAACAGATATCTTAATAAGAACATGAAGAAGGCTATGATACTTAATGTCGATGATTATCATAATATTCATGCTAGGCGAATACTGGATACTTGCTTAACATCAGCAACATTCCATATGACAACTATTTTGCTAAATTCAATTGAAGCTAATACTATTCTGATTTATGGGTCAAATGGCATTTCAATTCACAATTCTTCACTAATAGATTTTAATATTATTTTAAAATATTTAGATCAAAAATATATGAAGCATATGGCATTTACTTTTAATGAAATTTTTTCTTGCAGAATTCCATTTGATACAAGGTTAGAAGCACTATCTTTACATTCGTACGATGACTGAATCAAGGCTCAGGAAGAAGAACGTAAAATGAAGGACTGTATCCTGTTTGATTTTTATGAGCAAGAGCTCAAGTCTGTAGGCGCGTATGTTAATACTTTGGAAAGAGTAAATAGCATTAACATATTAGAGTTCTACTTGAATAATCATGTTATGCCCATGGTAGCAGATTAGCCTAAGCAAATATTTATAAGAAAAGCGATTAGTCTTCGCTTACGGGACCCAAATAATTCAAACATTCTGAGTATGTTTTAATTTTAGAATATAATTATTATTAATTTATTTAAAGTGACATTTAACAAATATTGTATTATTAATTGTTTAAATATTAGATATAGTATTGTCCTTTATACCAGTAATCGATGCATTACATGTGCAACTTAACTTGGTCAGTACTATACTAACAAATTTTTGGAGTTTTTTTAATATGGAGTACAAATATTTGTTTTGTACTTCTAGGGATCTTTCACAAACTCTAAGTCTGTATCATGCATTTCTTCTTATGGACTTGGCAAGAAATATATGAAAAGATATCAAGCCAACTGTAGTTAATAAGTTTGAAAAGTGCTGTAAAGATTTGGAATACTTGTTTCTTTTTGACTTGTTAGACAATACTATACTATTAGGAATAGATATTTACTTAGTCTTCTTTTAGTCAGGCGAATAGGAGTCATACTTAGAGAGTATTTTCTGGGCTTGGGTTCTTTTTTTGCGATTTGATAGGCACAACTATAACAAAGCACTATTAATATTTCTTTCAGATGTATTTTATTAGATAGAAAATAATCATCCAATACTAAATATACTAATCAAATACTTAGTTAAATTTTCAGATTATCCTGTCGAAAATATGCATAGTATTATTCAAAGACAATCCTCTCCATTGGATTCAGCTATACAACTTTCAAAGAAGGCAAAAATAGCCAATATGAGAAAGGCTATGGAAACCTTTAAGGAAGTTTTTGTTACTAAACGAAATGATGTCAATTCTAATAAAGATCGTCTATTACTACTTACAACTAAAACTAAAGTTTTTCTACTTCAAACATTTGAAAAGGTTTATAGGAATCTTAGAAAAAGCGAAAGCATTCAGACCGCTAAAAGAGAATATCGATTTCGTCTTACAGGTTTGAACATTATGCCAAACAAGAAACAAATGCCATTAGGGTTTAGTAGTAATCATATACCATCAAGAGATGAATGCAACTATTGCAGCATGCTTTTAAATATTTCAATTCAGAACCCTATTGTATTTGCATGCGGCCACGGATATCATGAACATTGTCTTAATATGTTTTTTTAAAAATGTTTTTATTATCAAATTTTTCTTGAACAAGGCATTCAACTAAACATTTTCTCTTTAATCATACGACTAACAAAACAGAATATCAAGGATCTTGTAGAAGGTAATCAAGAATCTAAAGGTCGAAAGAAGACAAAAGATACTGATGCAAAAAATTTGTCTTCAGAAGATGATATCCTTACACAGTTAGAAAAGGATGGAAGCGTATTAAATAGGGTCGAAGAGGCTTGTAATATAGCTTTGAATAAATTTTTAAAAGCCTAATTATATTTAATGTATTTTTAATATATCAATAAAGCAAAATGTATATAGTTTGCAATAAAAGATACGTATCTAAACTTTTTTTCTTTTTATTATTATTTTTTGGCAAATATTTCATTATTGCTACATTTTTTATTACATTTCTTATAAGATTTTCTCGATTATATAATTTAGCAATTATTACGACAAATATGAAAATTAAATTTCACTAACTAAATGTCGTAATAATATTATTAAAGGTGACAAGAAATATCATAATAATTCAGTAATTCTTTAACATATAATAGGTAATAAATTTTATTAAATAAGCAACAGCCAATTATCTTAGATTTTTCTGTTGATCTAATCACATAGTGATTGACAGTTAATAGCTAATCATTCGATTGTCTGCTATGTTCATTTTATATAGGATTTAGTGTAGTATTATACTTGAGTCTATAGATTATAGTTAGGATTTCATTCTATGTCTTGAACTGCTTTATATACATAAAAATATTGATTACAAAACTAAGAATTTTCTTGAGTTTTATCCAATTTATATATTCTGGTTCTAATATATTTCTCTTTACAGAGAGCATATTTAGTAAGGAGGCTTTGTCTATTACTATTAGTGAAATATTTTATATTTCATGAGTTTTCTCTAGGAAGTTGTTAGTGGAAATCAGTCTAACAAATCTTATATACTAGAGTATTATTAAGAAAGCAAATATCTTTTGACATCTTGGGGTTTTGCATCTACAGTAATAGTTTATTTTTTTGCAGCTATAGTAAACTATTCATCTATCTTCTACTTTATTTTAACTACATCCATATCTATATTGTTGATTATCTTTTTTGAGAGAAACAAGAAGACAATGAATACTAATATATCCAAACTTATCATATTAATAATAATAGTTATAAGAGCAATTAATATATTGATACTCAATACTATCGCATACTTTATAGTAGTTTAGCTTAGGTGAATTATGAGAGCAATATTTAGAGATGTGTTCTAGTCTTTTGTATCTATTGCACTAGTTATCTGAGCTGTCTGCAAAGACATATTCATTTAAATAGCAGTTTCTGTATCTTTGTATTGATTGTTTATAGGAGGTCTATTTCTGAGTCTAGAAGTTGGAGTTATTTAAGGTTAGTTATCAGTTTTAGAGTCTGTAGCTATTAAAATATAAGCTTCTTTTTGAAATAAAAATTCTTGCTCAAATTGATCCAATTCATACTTTTCTTTTACAGTAGATTGAGTAAGTAAAGATTAGTATTGTTCATAGGTAGTAGGTATATAAATTTTCTGTTTATTCTATTTTAGAGTATAAACACCATTTTTCTAATTATATGTAGCTTTAACTTTCTGAGACCAGTTATTGCCTAGGAGAAGAGATAAGAGATTATATCTATAACTTCTATATCTAAAAGAATAGTTATTCCTTCAATTTCTATAAGAAGATTTTTGATTATTTCTAAAGGTCTAATAGAGAGTCCAGTAGCTAATACAATTAGGCTAGAAGAGTAAGTATCTATCTTAAGTTCTAATTTTTTAACAATCTGATATAAGATTATACTAATTGAAATACTACTATCAATTATAGTCTAATAAGGTTTATCCTTGATCTTAATGTTGTATTTTACTAGTATGATATGAGTTGAGATTTGAATAGTATTATTAGAAGAAGGAGTAGCAAAATAGGTTTCCATAGCAGTTTGCAATGACTTATCAAAGGAATATGATTCAAATTGTTTGAAGTCATAATCTTTAACAAAGTTTACTACATAGGCTTCTCAGAGGTAAGAAGTAGAAGATCAGCTTCAGAATTGACTTTTGCTATTGTTATCTCTGTTTCTGTTTCTGTATCTATCTTTTGAATAACTTCTTTCTTGACTTCTATTTCTATTATTATACCTAGAGTTATCATAGCATCTGTTGTTATCAGATAATCTGTTTCTTTCTTAAGATCAAAAGCGATCATAATAATAATTATTATTCCTTCTATTATCTAACCTATAGTTATTGTTAGAGTGTAAACTATTGTAGTGACTAGGTTAGAAGTTAGAATAGGAATCATATTGATAATCTTTTTTTCGCTTCTGATAATTTTTAATGTAATATTCTTTACTTCTACAATAATAGCAAGTAGTATTCTGTTAGTTATTGTTATCAAATCTATTCCTATTCAAGTTATTTGAGTAGTAGATTAGTTTAGGAATAGAGTAATCTGTTTTTCTATAAGGTTTATGCTTAGTTCAGCAATTTGTTTAGTAAGTTGTTCAATAGCTTTATTTGTGCTAAAATTTGTATTAGAGATCATAAGCTTTCTAGTTTTTCATCATGATGCTGCAGTTATTGTTACTGTTAAATTTGCTAGTTTTGAGACTTGGATATTTACAGAATATTCTAGTTGTAGTTCTTGAATAAAGAGTTGAATTAAGAAGGTGACAGAGAAATTATTTTCTAGATCTACTTGTTCTTTTAACTGTTTAAATTTGTTGATATAGGTATCAACTGTATCTGAGCTTTGTTATATAGCAAAGAGCTATTTCTGCTATGTAGCTCTTTGTTAAGTAGTATAAAATCTTTTACTAAACAGATGATAAAAACTATAGATATTTTGTCTATTAACTACCTGTTTATGCTATTGATGTTAAAGTGGTTAAGAGTATTAACCAAACTTTAAAGCTATTCCTGAGCATTATTAGTAAGATAGATAGATACAAGTTTAAGTTGTCATATGGTATTCTTTTTGTTAGTCTTAGCTACCTGTTCAAAACTTTCTAACCAGATTATAGAGTCCTAAGTTCTATCATCTCAAAAAGATTCAATTTTTTTTTTTTTTTTTTTTTTTTTTTTTTTTTTTTTTTTTTACTTTATACAAATGCCATCAGCTAACTTTATTAATTTTATAAATTTCTGAAGTGATACATTTTGTAAGAGTATAACTAGCTATATATATAATTTTAGATTGTCTATTTTAAGTAGTTCGCCCAAAGGTTCTACACTAGCTACTATACCTGAAATCTCCTAGAAGATTCTCTATTTAAACTCTCTGGCCCTATCCTACTTACCAAACGTATTACTCTTATAGTTAAACCAAACTCTGTGCTACTTCATATTAGGCGGCATCCAAGCTGATATTAGTCACAAACTTTACTATTATAGGCCCAGGTCTTATCTGAATAAGTCCTACTTCAACACCCTCTAACAGATAGGTATCATGATACCTAACTATGCTATGCTATATCTCTATTTTAGCTTATATATACCCTTATTCGATATTTGTACAAACCCAGTTCTAGCTATAGCCCTCCACTAGTTTAGACTTCTGTATTTTTCTGAATGTTTCACATGACAGATCCCCCTAATCTAGTTAGCTGCTAAGCCAAGTTAGTGTTGCTGTAATACCTAATATCACAGACTTATTCGCATCTACTTGATGAATATCTTTGTACTCAGAAATCCTTGTCAGATCAAGTATTAACTAGTATGACTATTGAAATCTATACTACTTCACCTAGCTCAGGATTTCTACTATGCAGGTTCTTTGCTTGTAGATCCTATCTCAATTTATTTATGTAATGCAACTCCAACATTCTGTCATACTTCCAATATCTGAACAATATTGGTACAACATGATTTACAGAGTTACAACTCCAGAAATGAACAGAGTTTACTGTAAGTTGGGTACAAAGTTTGAGTAATTATTCAAAGTATTGACAGAAGGATTTGAACTCTAAACCTATTACAAGGTGGTCTGACAACCTATCTATTACATTAGATCACTGGATCTAAGATTCAATTTTAAACAAAGTCTTTTCACTACTAGTACCTAGGACTCTAGCTAATTCAGTTATAGCTATAGCAGTATCTTGTAAAACTTGTTCAGCTATATTTTCTTCTGATTTGTTTGTTTGGATAGTTTCATGACCTGAGTCTTCTAGATCTTTTATTT